ACATTTTTCTGGCAGTCGTACGCTCAATTTAGTCCATGACTGTATATCGACAACAAATGATCTTTTGACAATAATACGAAATACTGGGTTTTCATGTGAAGAAGCAATATTTCTATTTCCATTTATTGTTTTCCCATTTTGGCTTAGTTTTGTAAAATAAATAAATTCAATTCAACCCACCGATTGCTATTACATATATAACACGTAACCAATTAAACACACAAAGACTCCCGAAAAAAACAACTAGGTATTTTTGCTGTTAAACTTTCAATAAATGGGTACCAAGTACCCGGGCCAGAATTCTGAGACATTCCACAAAAATCGTGCGGAATCAATTTTCAATAATTAAAACTAAATTGGTGTGAAAGAGAGAGATTTCACTATTTTTCTACACTCCACCGGAATTATTCCGATAACTCAAGGAAGGGTGAAAGATGTCGAAATAATTCCGGTGGAGTGTAGAAAAATAGTGGAATCTCTCTCTTTAACTCCAATATGGTTTTAATTTATTTCCCAAATTCCATGGCAATAGTGATAGTGTTTCGAGTAATTCAAGACAAATCAAAGGGCATTAAACTTAAAATAGCAAATTTAAATCGTCAATTGTTTTCTATGGAGTTTTATTATCAAAACTTTGCGTAAATTGACGTATTTGTTATTAAAATGGGTCATTGACCATTCAGATTAATGAAAATTATTCCGTCAATGGGGTATCGCACTATCGATCAAGAAAGCCATTGGTGACTACTACTCATCACATGAACAACATCGGTTCACTCTCAAGCACATTGTTGTCAATGTGACCAAAAATATTCGAGAAACTCAACAGATTAGACTGTTGATCGAGTGTTTACTGATAGCTTATGTACTGTGGCTATGATGCGCAGCCTTTTTATAGCACAACAAAAGAGCGACCACAGCAAATAAACCAAGTTGTATCGACAGAAACACAGAAGTAACGCCAAATCTGCTTTAGCGGCTCTCTCATTACATTTTAACCAAGCAACGAACGCCATTGAAAAATCAAGTCATACACATTTCGAAACACCAAAATAAAAATGACTCTGATAAATATCGAAACGTATAGCACGTAAGTAGTCGCTGTCATACGCAAGCGATTCATATAAATTTTCAATAAATCTTCTCGTACATTCTCAATCAATTTCCTAGTTGTTTCCTGTTGATTGTGCTGTTAAGTGTTTGCAACATGGGTGATACAGTTGAAGTACCGTGCATTCAACGCACTTACAACGAATGTGAGGTGGATCCGTCGGTTTGCCCAAATCTGAATGATGTAAATACCGCCAACGAAGACAACATCATCATTCCGTCATACGAAAGTGTGAAAGATACAATCTCAATCGACATTCTCTGTCCAACCAATTTAACTCACGTACCCCGATTTATACTTCGCAAATTTCCGAAATTACGTCAAATTCGGATGATGAACACCGGCATTACGTCATTGAATGTTGGAAGTTTTTTGTCCGGCCACAGCTTAACGCAACTCGATTTGCGCAGCAATCAAATTTCCACCGTTCCAGCAAATGTGTTCGCCAATTTGAATCGTCTGGAGCATATTAATTTGGCCTACAATAAAATTGCACGCGTCGAACCGGGCGCATTTGACCAGGTACCAGCGCTTAGAACGGTGATTTTATCAAATAACCTGTTGCAAACCATTGAATCGCGTAGTTTTAATGGTGCTGGAAATTTGACAGAATTGTATTTTGAATCGAATGAAATTCAGACCATCGAAACAGGTGCACTTAATCTACCAAAACTAGAAATCATTTCGTTGAAAGACAATCGTCTAACATCACTGCCAAAAGACGTATTCGGAAATGCAGAGCGTTTGGAAAAGGTTGACTTGAGCAACAATGCTTTGGTTGAAATTGGTGATTTGTTCAACGATAAGACGAGTTTGTATTCGTTGAGTTTGAGTAATAATCCTGATGTGAAGGATGCCGATTTATTCAAACTGACCCATCAAATTCCCAACCTTAGCTACCTATATTTGGCCAACACCGGGCTTAAATTAACAAATGAACCAAAGGAGCCGACCAAACAAACTGACACGGAAGACGAATCAAATTATTCACTAACATATTTGGATTTGTCAAGTAACAATTTGAACTCGCCGGATATTTTCTTGCATTTAACGCAGTTCAAAAGCTTGAAAACAATCAGTTTGAACAACAATGATATGACACACTTGAATCATATCGCATTGCTGAAAGGACTATTTTCCCGTTTAGATTCCATTGAATTCAAGTACAATTCAAATGTAGATTTAAATTGGCTTCGACGAGCCGTGCCAATCCTTAAAAAGCAAAACATTCGGCTCATTATGGAGCAACAGCTAAGCGAATAAATCAAATCGAATGGATGTAGTTGTAGACATTTTATAGAAGTTTAAAGTAGATAAGATGTACACTAATGTACTTTTAAATAAATAAATGACATGAAATTCTTGTTCATAAATCTACTCCGTTTTTTTTTCGCTGCCTCAAAAAATATAAAAATGAATATTCGGGCTGAAAGAGAAGTCCAGCAAATATCTACTTTGAACGGCACAACGCTTGGTATTCTGCCGATTTGAATGTTCTAATTTTGACATCTTACAGTTGAGGTTATGTTTGTGAATTATTTTGATAGTAGTTGACAACCGTAGCTTGTTTGTTCGTCAATTTAATTTGAACAGCGGAGTAAACACGCAAAAATGAATCGGCTTCTGTTTAATAGAAGTATTTTGAACAGTAGTTTTCTGGTGCGGAATTATACAGTGAAACCGTTGACGCCACCATTGAGGAATATTGTTAAGGAGCCGTCTCGATTGATTTACAAGCCAATAGTTTATACATTTTCCACAAATGGTTTGAAACAATTTTGCCGTAGCAATGGTTCATATGCACCGCTCAACATCGATACAAATTTGGCCAAAGATGTGATCGTGTTTAAATACAATAATCCAAGATATTTCAAAATGATGAATATTTTTGGCTTGGCCCAATTTTTCTTCTGGCTCATTTGCTCTGAATTCACACTATCAAATTTACGCAATACGCCGATCAACGAAGGTGCACCAAATTTTGCTGATTTACCGCTTTATTTACGAGTTAATCTAGGTGAAAATAAATATAAGTATGGACTGGCCATCGGTTGTTTTATGTTTGGTGAGTAAAAAATGAGTTTGCCTTCGCAGAACCGTTTGTCTACATCATATCGTTCAAATATCCATTGCAGGTCTCGTGATCTTAGGATTTGTTTGGACATTTACACTGAGAAACGTTCGTTATTTGATTCTTAGGAAGGGTGGAAATAAAGTGGCATTCGTTACGTATGGCCCATTTGGAACGAATCGCATCATTGATGTACCGTTGAATTGTGTATCGGCTGTTACAGCGAGAGAAAGCGGCGCCAGTTCACTTCCAATTAAAGTTAAGAGCAAAAGATTCCACTATTTACTCGACAAACAAGGCGAATTCACAAATCCAAAACTATTCGATCATGTTATCAACGTTAAGAGACGCATATAAACCAAACTTACTAGCTAATTCACAGGAATTCATTCTATTGTTTTGAATAAATTTTGTTTTTGTTTGAAGAAAAAAAGAAGAACGATTCACTTTACTTCATGAAATCCATTTTTTTTTATTAATACAAAGTTATTCCATTATTTAGTAGAGTGTTGCGGCGAGGTAAACTTAAAATTAGTAAAACAGATGGAACTGGATTAGAAGACTGGTTTTGGTTTCTGTGTCAACAGCAAGCCAAATCGTTTCTTGATCGTGATCCGTTGACGGGAGTATTTGTCTTCCGGTGAAAATCGAGCTATTAAATGAGAAAGAAAAAGCAAATGCAAAGGAAATTAAAATCGGACCGGCTACAATCGATTCGCTTGTTCAAACATGAAATTTTCGGTAAATTTACCTGGATGCGCCGATATGGTTGGTGTACCGTCGTCGGTTTGTTTCTGTAGCAAAATAAATATATTGTTATTTAAATTTTGAACTCTCTGAATAATGAACACACTTTTTAAATAGCTCAATGCATGGAAATTCCATGCCATGCATCAATTTTTACAACTAAAATAAGCATTCGATGTGGTTCACTGTAATCATTTCGAATACCACAAACATAGCCTATTTCTCTTTATCGGTTTGGTTTTTTCCTTCAAGTTTTTAAAACTGTAAATACCTTCAATGTGTAGACACGCTCCCCATTTTCGTTCAAAGTGTACATCAAATACATGTTTGTTTCTGTTTTTTTTCTAAACTTTTACGGAATATCCAAACGAAAAATTCGACTTCACGTCTTGCGATGAGAACACACGTGTTTACAAATGATACTGTTGTTGGGTAGTGACAGGCGACCAATGTGTTTGATTATCAACACAGTGAAGTTGCTGCCGATATCAAGTGCCATCTGTTGAATGGAATCGATATTATTGCATTAGATGATTTTTCATCGTTTAATTTTGTGGTTTTTTGAATTTCAATACACACACAGCAGAACCTGGTGTTTAAAAATGTATTGTACGAAATTAAATTGCTCTGCATTCAAATAATGAAGATGATATTGTCCTAATTTTGTTCTATATCGAAAGATGTAATATGATTGACCCGTTTATTTGGAACAAACGCGCGTATGAACATTCAATACAACATAAAATTGGATTTCAATCTTCAAAAATAAAAAGCCAAGAAAATAAAATAACAAGAATTTGATTGAATCGAAGCGAAGAAAATATAATCCAAATAAAAAACTGAAATTGAAATGTTTTCAATGTTCTGATGAAATCATTTAATGAATTTTAAATTTGATAAGAATTATCTTAAAAAATATCCATTCATGGAACATTGCTTTCAACTGAATGATTTGATGTGTGTGCGTTCCCAAACGAAAGTATTTTCAAGGCATTTCTGTCTTTTAAACAACATTTGAATGAATCAAACTCTTGATTCTTTTGTGAATTCATCGGGCCAAAATGAAGTTAATTGGAATTTTGGCAATTTGTTTATCATGTCATGATTTCAAATTTATCATGACATGACTCATTTCCGTGTGGTTTTACTCTAGCTGATAAAAATTCCATATAAAGTGTTTCACCGAACTGATTACACTTTTTATGTACTTTCGTTTTCGAAGATACTCATACATTTTTTTCCCATTCAGTAATACAATCCAATTCAAGTAACATAGTTGGAAGAAGATTTTCTATTATTTCAATTCAAATTTCAATGAATTCCTTGTGGAAAGAGTTTTAAATTCTAGAATTGGTAACCTTGACCTTTTTTCGATTTAATTCATAATAAAATTCATAGTTCATACAAAGCACACACATTATGTACTGCAAGTTTATTTGTTCATTTTTTCACGTGCACAAACTTTAATAGCAAAGTTTTTCATTAACATGGCATTTTCAATGATTCAATGAGTTCAACACAAATTTTCTAAATCAAATGAAATGATACGCTTCAAACATTGAATCAATATAGGACAATAAAAATCCACCATTTAAAGTATTTCACACAAAAAGTTACGACAACAAACCTATGGTTCATGGAAGATAACTTTATCAATATCAGACTGATATTTATTGATTGTGTGGAATAATTGTTATCAATGAATAGCAAATAAACTGTGTCATTTCTAATTTCGTTCGAATAGGTATTTTCCCAAAAACTATCCAACCTATATACTGATTATGCTCATGTTTCAGTTGGAATACTAGTATTAACAGTGTTAAGAATAAAGTCTCTCGTTTATAACCTGAAGTTTTATTCTATCCATTACACCACCACCATAAACAACGTCACAAGGCGGCAACGCGGGAATAGGAGCCGATGGTAGACAATCATATTATCCATCGTATAAAGAAACAAGCAGCCAATGCCAAGGCTACCCATCTTATCCGGAATCTCAACGCAGTTACCCATCTCAACCAGCATATCCACCACAGCCAGGTTATCCGCTCCAAAGTTATCAGCCTAATCATCAAGCAACGATGTCTTCATCCGACCAAAACGCCCCAAGTCCAAGTGATGATGCAGATTATGCGAAATCATTCGACTTCAGTACTGCGTCCATTAGACAAGGCTTCATTCGTAAAGTCTACGGTCTTTTATCCGTAAATAGCTCCATTCAATATTGCATTAGTAAATTCTAACTATTTCATTTCATTTCAGCTACAATTGATAGTTACATTTGGAATAGTCCTGCTGTTTTGCCTACATCCGACAGTGAAAGAATATACCAGAAATAACTTATGGATTTTATTGGTGGCTATAGTTGTTGAATTTGTCACAATTATGGCCTTGTGTTGTTGTGAGGCGGTTCGACGCACTCATCCGACCAATTTGATCTTCATGGCATTGTTTACACTTGGCACGGCAATTTGCGTTGGCTACGTCGGCGCAAGTTATTCAGTCGAAGACGTGAGATGAAATTTCGAATATATTTTTAATTGAAGATTGGTAACATTTTTCTTTCCTAAAATATTTATAAGGTCCTGATTGCGTTGGGCTTGACCGCCATCATGGTCATCGGATTAACGTTGTTTGCCTTACAAACGAAATGGGATTTCACAAAAATGGGTGGCGGTTTATTCATTGCACTTTTATTGTTCACTGTTGTGGCCATCGTTGCATCAATCATGCGAAGTAATTACGCAACAATGATCTTGGCTTATGTCGGAGTTGTTCTGTTTTCCATTTATTTGATTCGTAAGTTGCATTTGCATTTGAAATCAAAACGATTATCAAAATTAAAACTCGTTTTTTTTTTTAGATGACACCCAATTAATTATTGGTGGCAATCATAGATATGAAATGAGTCCGGAAGAATATGTTCTTGGTGCGATCACTCTCTACTTAGACATCGTTAGAATCTTCATGTATCTCTTGCGCATCGTTGCAGCAGCGAAAAGTTAGACATTCACAAAATGGATAGATAAGCAATCAATCATGCATAAATGACTATGAAACAATAAGCTTTTTTTCCGTCTGATTGATATCACCTAGTCATATTTGTCTAATTACTTTGTCCCCATTCTTCTATTTATGTAACAGTTTTATCCACATATCAAAGAAAATAAATACAGGTCTGTAGCCGGGAAATTAGTTGCAATTTGATTTCAACATTTTATCTAATTTTTTTAAAAAATTCAACAAAGCTTATACACAACGAACATTCTCAACATGATTGTTTCCACATTCTCGTCAATATTTCCTGCGTCCGTCGATATTGACGAATATTGGGAGCTAAATTAAAATAAAATGATTGTTCAAGATGAATTACAATAAGTCGAAAAACACTTGATATGACGGTTTGCTAACGGAGACAAACAAACCCATACAGTCATTTACTTTACAGATTATTATTATCTGTACATGTATATGAGTTCATACTTCGAGTGATTTATAGTGATGGAATAGAACCCATGCAAATGCGTGAAATGTTATCACATTGGAAATATCGGCAAGTTTTTTTCATTTATCTCAGAAATGGTTGATTTTTTCGCTTGAAAATCGCCCTTCGGATCGGTACCTCACATGAAATTTTGCGCCCGATGGATTGAGACTGGTCTGAACTTTCCCCAATTTCCCACAGTAGCGCTTTTCCGAGAATTTTCCAACCAAAAAATGCATGTGTGCTGTGCATAGTAATAGTTTGGTACGTGCGGTAACTTTCTAAGACTATACTCGTCACCAATAGATAGCACAAACCTACCACATTTTATTTCTATGTGCACATGTCTTCAGAATGGCATTTCAACATCGAGCCGAAAGTATAGTCTATTTCAGCAAAACTGTGTGATATTCCTTTTTCCTCGATAGTGATGATTCATTTCATCGTTGAATCGGCGCCATAGAGTCTCGACATAAATTACTAGCATCCAAATTGTTTTGTTCTCTGTGCCGACCGAGCTCTGTCTCTGTGTAGGAACAGTGAAAGTTTGAATATCGTTCTTATCATATTTCTCTCGTTTGATTATTGTCATATTTAGATTATTTCATTGGAACAAGAGATGAATCGTAAGTATTTTGATCAGATTAATTGATATTTGGTGTGTGTGTAAAATATTATACGTCGAGGTTTAGTGTCACTTTGAAATAAATTTTAAACATTACGTGGATAAAAATGATAGTTCGAAAATTGAACATGTAAATTTTTAATTCATCCCAAGCTCAAAGACCGTATGCATCGCTGCCAAAAATTGCACCAGTAATGAACAAAAATGAAGCAGTCGATAGCCAATCCAGTCATCCACCTGAACAAAACCATCCTCCGCTAAATGAAGAAACTACAAGACCAGACATCGCGCCGCCTAATTATCAATCGTCGGTGGTTCAAAAAAATGAGTCTAATTTTGATCCCGAAAATGTGAAAGGGTTTGATTTCAATGACGATTCCATTCGGCGAAATTTCATCCGCAAAGTTTTTAGTCTGATAGCGGTAAATGTTGTTTATTTTTCAACGAATAGCAAATTCCAATAAAATAACTCCATTCCATTTTCCAACAGACACAACTGGTGATTACATTTGTTCTAGTGTTTTTAATAAGCCAACCAAGAGGAATTAGAGAATATATGTTCCGAAATGCATGGATTTTCCATTTGGGACTCATCGGTCTGATTATATCAATGCTAACTATTGTTTGTAGCGAAGGAATTCGTCGTACCTATCCATCCAATATGATTTGCTTGGGTGTAATTACACTTTGTGAAGGGATTTGTATCGGTTACATCGGCGCAATCTATGAACCCGATGTGGTGAGAACAAATTTAAAATATAACAATTGGATTCATTTTTTTAACAACGAAACATTTTCTTCAGATTTTGACCGCTTTGGGATTGACCGTTATTGTGGTCATGGGATTATCTTGGTTTGCCGTACAAACAAAATATGATTTCACAAAAAAGAATGGGGCTTTGTTTTCGGCTCTTCTTATTTTCACCATTGCCTTTCTCATCGGCACTATCACACGGGACGATATTACGGATGTGATTCTCTCCGGCTTTGCTGTCATTCTGTTTTCAGTTTACTTAATTCGTACGATGAATTTCTATGTGTTTTATGATCGATTTTGGTTTTCTTTTCAAATTAATTTTGATAATTCCTTTACAGATGACATACAGTTGATCATTGGCGGAAAACACCAATATCAGTTGAATCCAGAAGAATATATACTTGCCGCTCTGATCATATACATCGATATACTTCACATCTTCAGACGCCTTCTACGCATATTATCAGTGCTCAAAAGAAAATAGTTTTAACAAACCAATGAACTCTTTTGTGTCTCTTTTTGAACGTTCAAATGAAAATCTAGGGAATAGTAGGTATGGATTTTAAGATTTGATAAGATTAATACAGGTTCGAATAGATCTAGCTGATCCGACGGCATTTCATTCCCTAGATGAAAATTTATTATATTATTGTGTAGAAATAACACTCGCCATTTATGATATTACCAAATATATATAACACAGTTTTAAGCAGCAGAGGGTATTCACTATTAGTAATTTGTTGTTGATTATATGATGTTGAATGCATTCGAACAAGTCAATTTCTTGACGGGTTTTTCAAATAAAACACTCGAAAAATTCAAGTTCTTGTACGGTTGAACTTATGGAAAATATTTTTGAGGTGTTTTGACTTTGAACCATTGCCATCTACCGGATGATATTTTATCCTTCCAGTTCAATCCTTTTGATTTTATTTTGTGAAACCAATTAAACAAGGAATGGTTACGGTTTCGGAGAAAAGTGGACGGGAAATGATCAAAAGAATATTTTACAAAAAGAAGAAGTCAAACTAACCACTGACTAGGTAAGATATGTTTGCTCCGATACCTCTTAAGTGCGTATAGTTATAAATAGATTCATGACGTTATCCTTAAACGCCCCCGCTAACAATTTTGATTGAGCTTTTCGCTGATAAACCGGAAAAGTGTCAAAGTGCGAGTTTACGTTTGCTAGCTTTTTTCTGCAACAAATTTGTTTGGTGCATTATCAAAAAAAAAAGAGAAAAAAAGTAAGCATTTTTTGCACGCAATAAAAGATGATTCGAATGTGTTTTGTCGAATATATTGAAATTGCATGAAAATCGGGATAGTTTCTTTAAAGGGTGAAATTGATAACATTTTTCATCATTCCGCTAGTCAAGTGTAAAAGCAAGAAAAACTTCAATTTATTAGAATTGCATGTATGTGGTTGTTTCATAGATTTGTATGAGAAGTTAAATAGACAGAGTGTGTTATGAGCTGATGTCAGCAGCATTAACTGACGTCAGTTACTGAGCTCAGCTGCTGACGAGTATGCTTTACGTTGTTTTAACTCGTCAGCAGCTGAGCTCAGTTAGTGCTGCTGACATCAGCTCATAACGTGCTTTGGTGAATCAGAGTATGTATAAGCCACCATAAGACGATGGAAAGTGGCCCGATATGAACCCAAACTACCCAATTCCACGACAAAGTTATCCTTCCCAGCCCGGATACTTGACTCCACAAGGCTGTCAACCTTCAATGGTCTATGCACCACCACAACATGGCTTTTTTCCGTAGCAAGCATTTCCGTAGCAAGCATTTCCGTAGCAAGCATTTCCTTTGCCGCAACAGAATTTCATACCTCACCCGAACTACGCAGAGATTGGCTATCAATCAAATTTGATGCCGCCGCCAGAGTAACACGTGGCCGATCCCGAGATGATGCAGACAATGTTAAAGGATTTGCATTCAGTGATCCTCGATTCGACGGGCATTCATTTGCAAAGTCTACAGTCTTCTCTCCGTGAGTACAGCTGAACTTTAACGGAATAAACGAGCAAATTTACGGTTGTATTTCTTACAGGTACAATTAGTGATTACGTTTGGCTTAGTTTTGCTGCTAAGCTTCCATCATGGGATCAGATCGTATATCCGTTATAATACATGGATTGTTTGGACTGGAATAATTATTTTGTTTGTTGCATTGATCATTCTGACTTGTTGTGAAGGTGTCGTTCGTTCGTACCCATCGAATCTATGTCTCATTTGGGAATGATTACGATTGCTGAAGGAATTTGTGTTGGTTACACTTCATCCAGATACAATCCGCAGCTGGTAATATTAAAATCGCATCCATAAGTGGAAAATGCTTAATTAAAATCCAAAAAAAAAATTAGGTCGTCATAGCGATGGGCAACACTGCAGTAATGGCATTCGGATTATCACTCTTTGCCATGCAAATGAAATGGGATTTCACCAAGTATGGTGGTGCATTATTTGTGGCTCTACCGATGCTATGCATTGCTGGTATCGTCGGATGTTTCATACGAAGTCAAATCTTTGGATTGATTTTTTTATGCATCGGCCTAGCTCTGTTTTCCATTTACTTGATTCGTAAGTATTAACTATACCATATTTGTTGATGTTTCTGCCCTTGATAACGTGTTGCCCATTTCATTTTCTTTCCAGACGACACACAGTTGATTATCGGTGGTAAACATAAATATCAATTAAGCCCAGAAGAGTAAGTATGGACTTTTTTTTGCTTCTGGATTTCCATGTTAGTTTACTAATGCGTTGCAAAATTGATGCAAATTCCAGGTATATTGTTGTGAGTCTCATTATGTACTTGGATATACTTCGCATTTTACTGTACATTCTGCGCATTCTTGCTGCAACATCGAACGAGTAGACTAAAACTGATGGAAAGTAAAAGAAAATCAGAATATTTTAAAACAAACAAATTTCAAATGAAATGAAAAATCTAACGCATTTTTCCGGCAGTCAAATACAATATACATTGGAATCCATAGAAGCGTTGCGCACATTTCAAAGTATTATAAAATCAGTTCACAAAATCCATTCCAGATAGTTTCAAAATTAATAACAAAGAAACGAAAATGACAATTATTTTTCCAGAATTTTATATTGAAAATGGAGAATAGATTCAGCGAAAATTTTATTTTCACAAGTGATGCTACGAAAGTGACAACCAAATATATGTGTTGTTGCAAACTTATTTATATACTTCAAGGTTCAAGTCAAACATTGAGCTGCCATCTATCGGATGCATTGCACACTTGAGATAATAATATATAATTGTTATATATTTTGTTTTAAAATTTCCGTAATGTCTTAGAAGTTGGTTTTGAATCCTAAGAAAAGTGTATATATGATACAACGACTAAAGGGTGGATAAATATAAATTGATCCTTCTTAGGACTGAAAATGGCATTCATCGAACACCCAGTAAATAGTTGAGAAATGTTCGCATATCGTGAAGGGGTTAATCACCTTGTTGTAGGTCGCACATAGTGCAAATATTTACAATATATTTCTGATTGATGTAATAGCCTCCTGATAATATTTACGTATATTTATGTTTAACTGATGTAAATAAATGTTTGCAAAAGAAAGAAAAAGAATACTTCTGTCAATCATATCGGTTGTATGCGTTTTGACTTTTGCCCAATTCTTCATCCTTCTGTCAATATATCGCGCTACGATACACCAACATGCACACAAGTCTCGATATCATGCCGCAAATGTGACAGTGTCGTGCACAAGTTTATGGTATTGACGCTATACAATAGTAATTTCAATCAAAATTAAAAAAATCATTTATTTAAAAAAACAAACAAACAAAACGAACTATTTACGAAAAAAAATTGCGGCACTTTCTTAATTTGAATGTTAAAGTTTCTCACTTTGAAAGAAATTGGTTAGAAACATTTCTTTTCTGTAAACAATAGAGGTCATTACCCCCCTTCAGGTAAATATTCCACTCAATTTACTACATTTAGTCTACTACTGCCTGAATAAAATCTTTGTGTTTGTGTAAATTATATTATTTATTCACAAATACCGAGATTACTAATTGTTATTCAAAGCTCGACTCCACTGCTGTTTACAGTCGTGAGATGAAAACATTTCGGGAGTCTTCCCCTTGAAGGCAGACCGACTATAATTTTCGCGGAAATCATTTTTTGCCACAGCATTAACGCTTTTATCTTTTCGTTTTTTGAGATAAATTTCAATCACATAGTAAGGAATCCGAAAAAAATGACTTTGTTTTTCTATATTTACAAAATTGCATGGAAAAATTCAAAAAAGTTACAAGTAATCACTTCTAATAATTAATTTGGTAATGTATTACTAAATAATAATTCGTTGATTCTACTAGTAAAATTCGCCCGATATCTCATTATCTCTATTAATCTCTTACACCAAAATAATCACAAGTTCAAAACATAACCCCAAAAATAATTTCAAAACACATTGAAAATAAAAAAAAAACTCCATATCAAAGGAATAAATGTAAAAAAGCAAAAGATCTTTCTAAAAAAATGTACGTGAAAAATGTTTGTCTTTTTAGTTACAATATTTTTATAGCCTAGCAACAGTAAGTTGGCATTTATACAATTCAATATTGAACTTATACGGTCATCCAAAGTCAAACGCAACAATAATAATCAGAGGTAATTTAAAATTAGGCCCATGAGCTGCAAATCATATGAAAATATTAAAAACACTTTTTTTTTCAAAATCTATTTTTTGAAGACTAATTTTCGAAATGAGACATGAGATGTAAATGCGCAAAAATGTATTGTAATCGGAAATCATTGTAGTGTTGTTCTCCTCATGCTTTATTATGTTACATACGGTAAAGCGGGAGAGAATGAGCGAAGTAAGTTAGACATACGTCATCAAGTATTTAAGCGCGCATCGCCGCAGAGACTCAATAGAGACGTGCATATTCCGTACTACACGGAATGTGAACGAAACAGCAGTAGTACAAAGCAGGATAGCATTTCATAAATGTTTGATAACCTTGACGCCATTTTGATTTCAAAAGTGTTTTTTTTTGTCATCTCTTTGACTATGCTTCGTGATAAACAAAAAAGTATCAATGTTTTGATAGGATGGCTTGCGACATATTCATTACATTTTGGTCAACTTTCGGTAAACCTCTTTATTTATGACATAAATGAAGTAAAATTGATTATTTTATGACCACTGAGAAATTTTCTTCAGTGGATATTTGTGTTCGATATTTATGTTCAAGCCCATTGTATGGATGACGTCATTTGACCCTATTCATAGAGGTCTGAATTTGGGAAGGGGACTATTATCGTTCGCATTCAGAGTATGTTTTCTTTGTCGATACCTCAGATATATAACAATTTTCTTGATGATATTTATCCGGACGGGGAATAAATTGTTGTTCACAAATTTCTCGATGTACTATGATCATTTGAAGCTTTTTAAAACAAATATCTTCATGTATTTTCTAAATGTGGTCGAAGAGAATCGCATAATTTTGACATGTCAAGAAGTTTTTTGGGAGCATTTAATGAAAAAATGGTTTCGTTTCATGTCGTCGTTTTTGTTCGGCTCACTCATACATACACACCTATTTGCAACACAGTAATATGCTTTAGACTGTCCCATTCGGGTGAGTGTTTACATGGAGGCATGCATGTGTGTGTTTGAGTCGACTGCTTGCGAACCGTTCGTCAGGCGTACGAAGATAGTGTCGCTTCACAATTCCGTAAGATTCAATGTGTTTTTAAACGGTTTGTGTAGCTTGATTCGGTCAAAAGTGTGTAGCGTTGTAAATGAAATACCCAGGCAAAGACCTGATTCAATCCACATATTGTATTCGGTGTCATCAGCGAATTGTTGCACGTAAGTTTTTGAACGCATTTTTCTTGCATCGTATTTCTTAATGCCATCCAAAATAAACATTTATTTGGTTTTCGCTGATGTATATTCATTATTGTATTTATGCGGTCTTAATTGTTGTGTTTGACATGTGATGCGCACTGCGGCGCTATCAACATACAAACCCCAATATCAATGTAGAGAAGCTATGCCCCTAATTTGGGCTTACCCTAGGGTTCCTAATTGTAGGGTATTGAATTGGAACAAAAATGAAAAACATGTATGGTTTTTTTTTTGTTCGTGTTCATCATTTCGATGGAAACAAAAAGCTTTGATTTGATAAAACAATTTTTTTCGAATTCATTTGCATGGGATAAATTTTTGTCATCACAAAATATTGGATTACATTCAATTATACTATTCCAAATAATTTCGAAGAGAAATCCACTTTTTTACCATATCGGGAAATGTCATTTTGCCATCAGTTGTATCTGGCGATAATTCCGAAAAGTTAATAAAAAGGGATTTTGAGTCAATTCTACGTCTCATATGAGTTTTTAGATTAATTAGCATGGTCAGAGTCTACATGTCGGGTATCGAAAAAATTGTCGTATTTCGAATAATGATTCCACGTAGAGTGATGACCGAAATGAAAATACAGCGAACTGTCGAATCCAAGCGTATGCGTTTACGTTCGAGAGTTAAGTGCCCTATCTATGTACACTAGACAACAAATGAGGGTATTGTGTGAACGCTTGCTTGTTCAGCATGCATACGTTCGATAAAGTATTGAGTTTGTTTGCGGTGCCATAGCCACATAGTGTGTATGCACACCACAGGCACACACAAACAGTTCGCACAATCAGGTTTGTGCGCGAACGTCGTAAAGCGAACCTGCCCTCACATATACACACGACCAATTGGTCTGCTGACTATGCCGCATATACGAAGCATCAGAATACAACTTTTACACTTCATTCCGCCTCGGAATGTGATTACTGTAGAATATTTTTGTGAATATTCATCGACAGTCGGAAATTGAGATGTTTGTTTTTATTATTAAATTAAATGCCATTGATTTTGTCTTTAATTTGCAACAACAATCCGAATTTGGAAATGAGATGAATTCTTAAAAATGATGACGTTTAAGAAATCTCAAAAAATCAATAAATGGGAACAACGTCTCTCAGCGCCACCTATGTCATTGAATGTCATATTCAAGCCTAAAAAAATTGCGTAAAAATATTCATCAAAATTAAACCCATGGATAACATTAAAAAAATCCCACGAAAAAAAGTCCAAACAAATCTAAAGCATTGACGAATATTTTTCGTTTCAAACTTGCCAATCATATGGACTTATTGCATTATATTGATCTGTACTAGAAACACCTAGGCCAAATCGTGTCCCAATTGGCCAATCGCTTTCGGCTTGACTTGAAATTTCGAAAATTAATTTACGCAAAAAGTCAAATGCCTTTCATAAGAAAATGCACAAACATTTTGTTCTATCGCATATGTCAGACTTTTTGTCGCAAATACCATTTCAATGAAATATTAACTATTTCCCCGAAGAAAAAAACAACACCAATGATTTTCTCGAGAATCGAAATATATAAAATGTTGTTCAATTCATCGTTGGTTTTGGATCCTATAAGCTTAAATTTGATAAATATTTGACTGAGATCAATGTGGGATCACGGAGTTGACTGCAGCGCCACTTCACCTATGTTTCAGTAAATAAAATCGATATGTACACAGAGACTGAATGAGTGACAGAACTGTTCTTCTTATTGGTATACATGGTTTCCAATATTACGAGTCAGTAAACCAGTCACTGGCATTAACATTTCGTTTTTAAATTTGAATTTGTTTTTTTTTTCGTTTCAAATTTCTCCTTCATACTTTTTTTCGTGTATTAAATGAGTTTGGAAAATGTGCAACCAAAAAATTCGTTTGTTCAACACAAAATTTTGAATTGACAATCGAAGTGTATAAAACGCCAACATTTACAGTGAAGCGCTCAACTTGTACGAGAGTATGTTTATGTGTGTGAACAATTTGTGTATATGCAACTAATATAGCGAGATCTACAGTAATCTAAAGAAAAAAAGAGAATCAGATTTTTCTTATGTTATTCCGATGAATGCGATGATTTCCTTATTTTTTTATGAAAAAATATGAGATTTGGAACTAAAATTTATTGATAAATTTTTTGTTTGTTTCATTGATTGTGCTTTTGAATATTTTTCCCTTGTTTCCGGCCGCTCTATTCCATGGCACATTCGAACATGTTTTGCTTCCATTTGAACTACATAAATAAACACCAATCAGTTTGTTCATACACAAGGAATAGAACCTTTTGGTGAATAATCAAATCTTTAGATCTGCCGACTACGAAATCACATAGTCGCGTTTCATTGTAAACGAAATCAAAATATTATATTTACATTTACTTGTTCTGATTTTGAGGTTATGTTTATGTTTATGTTTGACACAACAACTTTTAAATGTTCGGCAGTTTGTTGTTGGACTATGTATGACCCAATAGATGGAGAGTTAAATTGAATCCAACTAAGGTGAATGTGTTTTTGTTGTTGTTGTTTTCTTTTATTTGATAGAATTCTTCAAACAAAACCATCCAATCGGTATGAAAAGACGGTAAAACTGCGAACAAATGGTTGATATAAAAGATACTTCAATTCTGTCGACGGGATTTAGTGAAAAAATTGAATCAGTCTCTGACGTGTCTGACAACAATTACATCGATGATGATCCAATGGATAATTTAGCTTATTCAGACAGTGAATCTACTTCAATTGCAATGCCCGACGAGGATTTTTGTGATGCACTCGACCAAATGGCTGATGTAAATTCGGCGTCAAAAGAAAGTGGTAAATTAAACCGAATTTCGGCAGCACAATTTTTTTTAATTCAAATTTGTAATTTATCATTTGTTTTTTCAAAGCAGTTCAAATTGTTGAGAGTCCGACTACGCCTGCAGAGCCAAACGAAATATCAACCAAGGAGGAAAAAATAAAAGAAAATGCTGAGATTGCGAGTGACAAGTCGATTGAGAATGCTGAAAGTGTTTCAAAATTGGAAACGTGCGAAAAATCGTGTGAAAATGATGTTGCTGAAAAATCGCCAGCAACAGTGGAAACATTGAATGGGACCAGCGAAGATGAGCCAGCTCTCGGTAAAATCAACAGTGGTGAGCCAGAGAACAAAAGTGTTGATCCAATCGAAGTGAAACCGGTCAATGAAAAAATAGCCGAGACAAATGACACCGTCGAAGGTGAAAACACCGATTCAAATCAGTTGGAGTTGTGCAATGGTGATCTCCAAGAAGCAATGCTAGACAACACGAGTAACATTGATGTGCCTACTCCCAATGAAGACGCGGACGGCGTCGAAGGTGATTTTGATTTTGATCAAATATACGACGATCTGCAGGAGAAAAACAAGTCTGGTGAATGTAACGGACAAATTGATTTGAAATCACCGCCAGATAATGAATCGAAAGCAACGTCCGATGAAAAGATGGAAATAGAGGAAACAGAGGAAACAAAGAAACCGACTGAAACGAGCACTGCCAATTGCGTTAATGATATCGATGAAGATGCACTGTTGAAATCGCCGACTATGCAAGAAAAAGGTGATGAAGACTCGGATCTGGCAAAATATTCGGAATCTGTACTTTTGAAAGAGGATAGTAAAGAGGAAATCGCATCCGCCGAAATCGAAGAAAGTATTACAATTCTGGATTCAACCGATGAGCTAATGGACACATCGGATATTGAAAAAGCCGCCGGCGACGGTGAAAGTGGAGTGAAAGAGAATAAAAGTGAAGATGCACCAAATGAAAATGAGCAATCAATGGATGCATTCGATCAACTCAAAGTGTTAGACACTGTCAATGGAACGAGTTCAAATGAAGCGGCGGATCAAGTAGGCGATGCGCTTGAAAATGTGATCGAAAAAAGTACAAATGAAACGGTGCATTCGGACAATGACAACCAAGACAGCGTTAAACCGACTGAAACTACTGATTCACCAACGCTGGTAGCTGAAGGTAGCAGTGATTCGCTGGAGAATAAAGAGAGCAAAGAGAATAATTTGCTTGAGGCAATGCCAGGCTCACCAGTTAGTGCAGACAATGGTGAATCTTCGTCGTCATTAATTCGCGACGATGACTCGGCAAACGAAAATGAATTTTGCGATGATGAAGTCATCGATTTAAAAGACGAAAACTCGACAGACGCTAGAGATGGTTTCAGTGACGATAAAAATGCCGAAGAACCAAGTGTATCAAATGCCAGCAAAACTGGATCGAATGATGTTAGCCAATCGAATGAGAATTCAGTGATATTGACAGATCAAATGGATTCAATCGAAAGTAAACCAGAAGTGGTGAAGGAAGTGAATGACAAATCGAATGAAAGTTTGGTTGCCATCAGTTTGGATGACGATGATGACTTGGTGATTGAAGAATCGACGTCGGAAACGAATAAAACATCGACCGAAGATGATCAACCGCCAGCTAAACGTGCGCGCTTGGAAATTACAGAATTTGAAGAATCCTTCAGCAAATCGTTTGAAAATGAAAAACCAACGTGTGAAGAGAAGGTCGGCGATGGTGGTGATGTAGCTGAAGCAGAGAAAACGGAGAAATCAGAGAGTGATAAACCAGAGAAAACAGACGTCGAAGAAGATGATGATATTGTAATCATTGAATCAAACGAAGCGAAAGCATCGAGTCCCAGTGTTAATTCGAATAAAAGACCTGCTAGTCCAGAACCGATCGATATCGGGGATGATTCACGCAAAAAGCATAAATTTGATGTTTTGGAAGTGATTCCCACGCTCAAGGAACCTAAAATTAAAGAAACCGATGACGAGCCACTCGAAAAACCCAAATCTGACACTTCGGAAGTAATTCCGCAGGCCGAGGAAACTAAAATTGAAGAAACTATAAAATCCGGCGAAGACATCAAAAAACCGATCGATGAAAAGCGCGATGACGTTAAGCCAACAATAGAAACGAAAATCGAACTAAAACCGAAGCCCGAAGAGAGTGTCAAGCGAACAATTGCATTGGATTTCGCAGAAAAATTCAAAAAAGGACTCAATCAAATGAGCCGCAAAAATCTCGAGGAATTTGTTTTGGAGAAAATTATCGAAGCCATCGTTCACAAATCCGATTACAGCGAACTGAAACAAAAATCAGAAGCACAGGAGAAAATGATTCAGGCGTCACGCACAAAACTGCAAGAAATCAGCAAGCAATATCGTGATTTGGAAATGGTTTATGCACGGCTCAAGAAAGATCTCGAGAGTAAGAATCAAAATATTGTAACGCCGATTAAAATAACACGGGCGGTGGGTCTGCAGGTGTGTCTTCAAAAGGCATCCAACAAAGAAGCGTCGACTGCACCGGCAGCACCATCGAAAACGGTGCAAAAAAACTTTGTTACTACTTCCCATATCGTTACCCGACCAGCTACCGTTGTCACATCAGCTCAGCCCAAGATTACACCGGTTCAAAAGCAAATAACACAAGTCCTACGGCCACCCGTAAGAACGATAGCAGCAAGGCAAGTTACGCCAGAACAACGTGTTGTCACAACAGGTAAAGCCCGCCATTCAAATATATAGAGTATTTTTACAGAGACGAAACACATTTCAAAGCCAATTAATACAATGGATTTTATCTAATTCGCAGTACAACGAAGGATAATTCAACCAAGCAACGTTCAACCACATATCGTTCAAGTTTCGCCTCAACGAAAAATCGTACCAGTATCAAGCAAGTGAGTAGCAAATGAATTTTTTTATAGCTAAACGCTATCGGATGGAAATGATCATTGCATTCAATCACATTTCCATTTTCAGCCGTGTGACGATCATTCCAGCTCAAGACCAGAATCAGCGTGCACCGCAGATGATCGTAAAGAAAATCAATCCAAACGGCCGCATCGTTGTTGTCAATCAAAATGTTGCCTCAACAACACAACCAATTGCAACAATCAACAAAGTTTCGCCAAATGTTGTGACAACAACAGCAAACCAACGGGGTGGACCGAGGTGCGGCCTAGTTACTCTTAATATTATTATATATTTGTTAATTGTATTGTTTTAACGAAAATGAATGTATTCAATTTGCAGTGGTTTCATTCAAGTGCGTCAGAATTTGATGGCAAACAACAGTGGTTGTATCGATCTAACGGATGAAGATGATCCAAAGCCACAACAGAGACAACAAGGCAATCCACCAGCTTTAGTTGCACTCAATTCGCGGGGTCGACAACAAATCGTTCATACACAACCAGTTCAGCGGCAATTGGTTGCGACTCAGCAAACCATTCGAAATGCGGCCGTTGTGGCTCAAAGTCGAAAACTGCCAGTGTTAGGTAAATTGAAAGAAAATTCTCTTGTTAATGACCTTGATTAATGGGTGAAATTGTCATTTTCAGCACCAAAAGCAAATGCAAGTGCCCCAGTGGTTCAACAGTCATCAGTGACCATAAATAGAGTTGCCGCAGCACCGAGTCCTACTCAAAATCAAGTACAAGCACAAGCACAAGCACAACAACAGCAGCAAGCGCAACAACAACTGCAGCGCAAACAGCCCCCTGCAAGACATCGCCATCCGGCTCCACTGCCATATCCCTACAATCCACCCGGTGATCCGAACTGGAAACGAATTCCACCGCGGCCGATCATTCGCATCAACAACAATTCGTCTGGCATCGTCATTTCATGGAATATGGAACAGACCAAGGACCATGCTGAAATAGTTAGCTATCAAATTTATGCGTATCAAGAGACTTCAAATCCGCCATCAACCGACACATGGCGGCATGTGGGTGATGTAAAAGCGATGCTGTTGCCAATGGCCGTAACACTCACACAATTTCAAGAGGGCCAAAAGTATCATTTCGCTGTACGTGCCGTTGATGAGCATGGTAAGAATAGCCTTAATTCATTTTGAGCGGATTTTCCTCAATTTTCTCCTTTTCATTCATTTATTATATGAAAAAACAAAAACGAAAATTTTATTCATTCTAGGTCGATCTGGATTATTCAGCGTCCCACGGACATACTAAACACAATCCACCACACACCAAATAGAGTTATTAAGAAACTGTCGTAATTTTAATAAGTTGACACGCAAATCATACTTTCATTTTTTTTAAGTGTCTCTCATTCGTATTTGCCAAGTAAATGAAAATTCATTTTCGAATTGATAAAATAATTTATAATACATTTAATGGCTTGGAATTGTGATTGCATCACTAACATCATTTAGATCAGAGTAGATAATACCATTGTAAATCATCACAATAAGAATAAATGAATTATCAAAGTGAAATATGAAGAAAGAAAAAAACGAAACATTTATGTGTGTGTCTTGTGTCGAATTGAGTCGAGTTGGTGGATTAAAGCAAGAGTAAGGAGCAATAGCAGCGCGACTAGTGTACAAAAGAATAAGTCGTACCTAATGGGTCGTACAAAACAATTTGTATTGAGTTGCACATGAGTTTCGCTGATATATTAAACGAGCATAAAATATAATTGTGCTCGGCCAAATGAATTTACATTTGTTCTTAGCAGTTTTCTTTTTTCACAAATACAGGTCAAACGTATTAAGTAGATCGTATTTCGATAATCGTCCTTCGTTCGGTCGCCACTCAGTCTGTATTTGTTGTGCTTTGTGTCGGTTATAATAATTGCGAGCACGAGAAGGCAACGCATTTATATGGAGTACATATATATTTTCGGTGCGAGATTGCCGTGACAACAACACAAATCCAATGGAATTAATATATTGAAAACATCAAAGTAAGTGGCATTTTCTATTAGCATCACGGTCTCATGTGAAATGTCAACGCCAAATAAGTAGCAATTTTTTTTGCACATACGCAACGAAAGAAAAACAAATAAAACACACACACAACAGAGTCGAAAAGTAATCGTCAGCGTTTCAAATGGGTGCAACAAATTTTTAGTTACGACAACAAATTCTGATTATGGGAAATGAACGCGAACCATCGATCACCAATGTTAATTCGGCCATCCACTCGACTCTCGCTCAAACATGATTATTGGCTGGAATTTTTGTCAGCGAGAAATTCGATCTGTTATATTATGTTGCATAATGAATATGAGTACGAATAGACATGCACAGAACACATTTCCATGAATTATTTATGCCAACTTATTGGATTGTAACACATTAAGCATGAAATTAGTATATGCTATGTTGTTGTTTTTTCTTCTGGTATAAGTATATGTTGTGACGATTGTGCCTTGCACGACAAGCTCTTCTTTGTCGACTAAACACGACTGGCCTCTTTCCGATTTTCTATTATTGGATTGAAGCTCTAAATCTTTTCCACAACTGCCACCGATCATTTTCTTTTTTATACACATATACATATGAGCAAAAACATGAAAATCGGGAATGGTTAGACATTTTTTTTTATTCAAATATCGCGGTACTGTGGTCTTTTTTCTTTAAAAGTGATCCTAAAGTATCGGCCAATACCATTTTCATATAAAGGTAGGCGTTTATAGTGTGCCATTTCAACGTAGTTGTGCTTGTGCCTCGTTTTGGGTCAAAATAAGCGAAAATACACAACCGAACAAAAAGTCTTATTTAAATATATAATTTTCGTTATCATTGCTATTATTCAATTTTATTTATTAGATTACGATGTAATCGTGCTATTTTGGCCAAATTTTGCAATGAATACATCTTATTCATGTGCATTTGAAGGCTCCGAAAGGTGCCGCAAATTGAAATGTAACCTTCCAGTCTAAAATTCCCGAAAGTTTTTTTTTTCATGTATACCTTTATCAAGAATAATGACGCTATATTAGTTTTTTTTAAGAACTTTCTGCCTATTTTCTGGAAAATAAAAAATATTAGTTACTTTATTTGACTAAAATACTTAAACGAGCCTTCAGACATGTGTAACGAGCCAGTCTTTGTTACATTGAAAAAATCGAGATCATTTGATGACAGGTTTTTTCTTTGTAAACCAATCCAGAACTGAACACCACAAAGAATGATAACACTTCTATTCTTTTTCTACCCATTTGAATCAATTTTGAGTGTATTATTGCATTTATTTCAACCGTCGATGTACTTTGTAACGATCCAGTCTTTTATGTGTAACCTTCCAGTCCTTTTTTTGATCAGAGAAATCGGAATCGTTTATGACAAATTTCTATTGCAAATCGATTCCAAACCAAAAATCATGATAAATTCTCGTATTTCTATTTGTTATCGACTGATTTGAAACTAATTTGAATTTGATATTTGGTTTATTTAGCCCGAGGAATTTTGTGTAACGAGGCAGTCTTTTTTCTGTAACCTCCCAGTCCGTATATTTTGGATCATAGAGCGACCCGAATTGATTTTTATGGGGTAAATATGGTTTCGTTCGTTTCTTTGATCCTTCAGACAGCGAACAGAACCTTGGAGTAAAAGGATGCTCTGCTGGGGGAACTGGATTTTAGATATATGTAAGAAAAACTCCAAACATATCGCCAAAATTGTAACCTTTCAGTCCAACAAAAAAACGGCTATATCTCTATGGGTGTGGGAGATATGGGAAAGGTTTGTTGGTATGAAATTTTCCTTTTGTGGTCTAGATTTGCCTCAGCATAATACTTCAAGTGGTTTCTGGGCTTACAGAAGAGATATGAGCATGAATATTTTGAAAAATCGTGCGAATGTAACCTTCCAGTCTGTGTTTTTGCCCATATATATATGTATATATATATATAGTTATATTTTCATTTTATTTCCCACTTCGCCCGCTCTCTTCATTCCACTGAAATGTTCCATGGGCATGGTATTTTCCAGCCGACATTTTCCACTTTCACTCTTTCACTCTGTGTCGTTCGCTCTCTTTTTTTTTGCCTGTCGAAAATCATACCCTTCGATATTTACCATTTTACTTTTACACACTGCTCACAGTCTTGTGTCAGAGTTCGGAATGGACAAATGTGTTTTCGCCGCTTATCGCTCATTGCGATCGATTCCGTTGCGCTATCGCATGTTTTGTTTTAATTGAATCAGTGTTTGAGTTGAGCAAATTGCCTTTCGTCATTCTTTTTTTTTCGCTCGGTGTCGATTGTGTAAGCAACAAGCAAAATATAAATAAACATCTTCAGACTTGGCAGCCCGTGTGGGAGAATGGTAATGACTTTTCTAGAAAACAAATATTGACTTTCTTGGATCTGTAGACAATTTGCAGACATTTTCAAGTGGTTTATTCATTTTTGTACAATTTTTTTTCGGTAAGTTATTCAAGGATGTTTGTTCATTCGGCTGTAATCCAAAATCAATTGCAATTGATGAATATCATGTTTTTTTGTTTCGTTAGAACCTAATAAAATGTTGTTTATAAGAAATTACCTCGATTGATATCCCTTCAAATGAGTATCAGAAAACCGTGCAGAAAACCCATATTTCTGTGCCTCCTAATTAGCGCACATTGACAATATTACACCACGAGAAAGAATTAAATAACTACATCCGAATCGAGAAGGGTGAATGAAAAAAAAAAACGGAGCAACAAATTGACAATATTGTACCGGTATTGGCGGGTGTAGCTGTTCGCAATTGTCAATTCAGAATAAATTGTATAAATTAAAACATCGATATATTCAATAAGAAACAATTGGCCGAGCTTGAATATTAATTAAGTACTTGCCACTTAATGCCGACTAAATCGATTTGCAATTCAAGGTTCTCACAATCAAAGTGTCAGAATTCTATTAATATGGTGACATTGAGAGAGTTAAAGAGACTAGAAATCATGTAAACTATCAAAACAAAGACACCTTGCAACACCAAGCAAATCGCAACAGTGAAACACACGAAAATGGCAACGAAAAAAACAAACCAACCGAAGGATATATAAGTCTATAAACATTTTAGGGATCTAAACTGTGTCTACATAAAATGAGCGAGAAAATAGAGGCCATAGAGCAAAAATGAAGACAAAGTAACTTTGACTATTGTACTTGAAGGTGCAATGCGATAATGGATAGTTTTAGCGCACAGAATTTCAATCGAAATACTAAATGGCTTTGGTTCTACTGCACCGTGCACACACAACAGCAACAAAAACAAAAAGCACATTCACTAATACTTCTACTCTGTGTTGCGAGTGAACACGGGAAAATTTATGGCTATCACCCGGAACTTACAAATACAACCACATTGTTCGTGCAATTGCATGTTGTTGTCCACTGGTTAAAAACGTTTATTTAAAACCAAATCATTATTCAGACGGCTTCAAAAATGCAAAGGGATATGTACATGCTTTGAAAGAGCTTCGAATGTTTGTATTTTCTTCTTAATTACTTTGTTCTTTTTTTCGTTTGTCTGGTTTTCAGTCGACGTACAAACGTGCAAAAGGAAGAATTTTTTGTATTTCTATGAGCACATGCAATCCCGTGTGCAAAATTTTTGACTGACTAGTCAGTATAGTTTTCCCAACATATTTCGATTTTTTTCAGAAAAAGTGTTTTTAAGAAAATTCGATTTTGAAATTTTGAGGTTTTGGAATTGAATTTTGTTCAGTTTTTCATGAAGAATTTTATGGTGGTTTCAGTTTTCATTTATAATGAGTCGTTTTGAAAAATGTACCAGGTTAATATCGAAAATATGTTATTAATAGGTTAATAAGATCGGTATCGGTGGGTTAATTTTTCTAAATGCTCAATCGAAGCTTCAAACTGAAACCACCACAAAATTCTTCGTGAGAAACTAAACAAAATCCGAATTTAAAACCCCAGAATTTCAAAATAGAATTTTGTTGAAAAACATTTTTTCTGAAAAAAATCGAAATATGGTAGGAAAACTATACTAGTCAGTCGATTAATTTGGGACATTTTGACTGACTTAAAGTGATCGTCTCGAACAAAATAAGCAACTGCAGTTAACTTTAATCAAAAATCACTCTTAGTCAAAATGTCCCAAATTAGTCGACTGACTGAAAGAATAACTAAACGTGATTGTCTCCATACAAAACGCATGATTTCAATCAACTTAGCCAGTTTTAGTTGTGTATCACTACATACAGTTACATACAACTGAGTGACTGTTAGTCATTTTATTTGCACACGGGATGCTAGAGTTAAATGTTTAATCGACTAGATTCATTCCTATGGTTTCGGCTGTTTGATTGGAAATTAACGAGCATGTGGCTTTCGTTGCAACAACAACAACAAAAATCAATCAAAGAAAGCGACGAAATTATTATATAATCGATAACAGAAAATGATATGCCAGTGTGTAAATAAAATTGGCCCAAATCAATGCAAAAAAAAGCTTGAAATCACGAAATACAGTCTAACGGTTCAGTTTTTCATTTTTTGTAGTGCCATGTCACTCGCAATGATTTTCGTGTTCTTGACACAAAATACTGCATTGACATTTTTTCTATTTCTTTGGCAGAAATTGATTTGTAATACTGAAATGCCTAGAGTAAAAAATAAGGGTGTTACGAATGCATAGTGCAGAAAAAAAAACGCATTTTTATCAATAACTTTGGAAGTGTAAGCAAGAGCACCGCAATTCAACAGTGATGGAAGCTATACAGCCAATCAGTTTGAACTTTTATACTGCATGATGCGCATCGACAGTTTCAACCAACTTCCAAAAATGTAACATTTTCTGCAATTCAAAGCTACAGAGAGAAAAAAGCAAACACCTTTTGGTAAAACTACCTGACCATGTATGTACTTACGAAAATAAAACACACAATTCAGTTAATCCAGTGCCAAGACAAACAAATCCTACACGTACTTTATGTGAAGCCATTCTCTACACAAGCCAAAAAAATCCCCTACCCCACTCTCTTTCTCTATCATTTTCCTGTGCAAACATAAAGGCAATAAATGAATTCAGCTTCAAAAAATTGTTTCCAAGAAAAGTATTTTCACCAACAAAAGAATAAACGTGACGCTATTTTACATCCTCCACATTTTTTCTCCGCTCGGAATGGTTTCAAGCATACAAACATTGTATATATATTTTTTCACATCTTAAAAAAGCACATCGAAACCCATTATTAGATATTTATTTCAAGGTATGTGAACCCAATGAATTTCGGCTGCAAATGAAATGTAATTTTTATGCAGAGTTCTCTTTTTCGCTCTTCATTGGCTCTCCTTTTTCATCTTCATCGTGCGATTGAAGAGGAAAAAAGAGTTCCGCACTGTGTTATTCATTTTCTTTTTCGCTTGTATGTGGAATAATGCAAAGTTCATACAATAGATATGGTATTACAACAGAAAAATAGAACAAAAACAAAATGTTCGTCTTTCAACAAACAACGATGACAACGACAACTGCCGACTGATTTTTTTAAAAGCAACGGATTTTATCTCACATATGGAATTAGTCTTACGGAAATCTAAAAATATATGAAACAGAAAATTATACAGATTTTGAAGTGATTTGACTATCATGTGAATTGTTGAGCGGCGAATGAAAATGAAGAGAGAAAAACCGAGGGGGGGGAGAGAGAAACACACAAGTATGAATGAATAATAACGGCTTCTCTTAGTTGCTGTGTAAAGCTCAAATGGCTTCTTTGCATAGGTACACTACCGTGCAAAAGTTTGGAACCACTAGGTATTTTTTATACAAATTGACCATTTTTGGTGGACTCATTAACATATTTCGGAAACACCTGCACTCTTGATATTTTGTGCATAGTTTCTACAACGTTTCAATAGTAAATCACAGAGGTTTCATCAAAAAATATTCATGAATTTCAAAAATATATCAATTTGAATTTGATCTGTTTTAATCTTCATACAAATTTGATCATTTTTCACACAGTACAAATTTTTGAAATTCATGAATATTTTTTGGTGAAACCTCTGTGATTTACTATTGAAACGTTGTTGAAACTATGCACAAAATATCAAGAGTGCAGGTGTTTCCGAAATATGTTAATGAGTCCACCAAAAATGGTCAATTTGTATGAAAAATACCTAGTGGTTGCAAACTTTTGCCCGGTAGTGTATTTAATGCGAATAAGATGGGCTTATTGAAACGCTTTGACATTCTTTTCATACACACAAACGCACTTTGATATGAATCAAATTTCGCTGGCACACACAGCAAAAGAGACATTTTCACCCACACTGCACAGTGCATACCTTATCCCAATAATGTTCCATCAAATATAATTTGTTGTACGACAAAATAATTGTGTAGGATTCCCACAACATTCTGGAAATCTTCGGATTTTCAGAGAGAGAGAGAGAGAGAGAGAGAGAGAGAGAGAGAGAGAGAGAGA